TATTTTTATGCAACTTCGATTTTCCTTCTTTTATTACGAAAGGGAGGTGTGAAAAATCGTAGTCGATCAGCGCGAATACTTCCGTGTCGCATTCCTCGCACACGAATCGAGAGTTCAACCGGGGAATGTTGTTCACCGAATAATACTTCCTCTTAATATCAAACCTCTGCCTGTTTTGCGTTCGTTGAAAACGCACCCACGAACGAAGCTGACCGCGCAGCGTGTTGGCGGCGCGCATTGTTCTGCTCTAATAATTACGTTCACGTTCAATTGGTCGGAACGAAAAGGTTCTGCCACGCCGACGATGATTTAGGATCTTGGTACATTGACTTGACCACGATTATGTCTGTAATAGACTGTGTCGACTAATACTATCCCTAATAGTTTGGTTTATGGTGTTAATATTTTATTGTCCAAAACTTTGATCGAATCAATGGGAAATAGTTCCCTGTATTCGAACTCTTCGTCCATTTTCTTCACCGATTTTGGTCACGTGTGCCACTCTCTTTCGAAGCTGTCGTCCAGTTTCGCCTCGAAAGGAGGTCGTCGAAAAAGTTCTGCCAATCACCTAGCTTCCCTCCTTCCGTCTAATCGAACATATTAGAAAGTATCGAACGAGCCACTGAATTTCTTCCCTCGAACGATATTCGCATCGGGTATTAATACTCGGCCACGTGCAGCGAATAATTTCTCGAGATTCCCCCGTATCGAGTACCGTGTCGCCACCGATATTATAATTTCTTCCGTACAAAAAATTCTTCATCCCCTCCCTCCACTTTAATATCCATACCCCTGATCCCAGTTGCGATGCAACGCATTTCCTCCTCCTTTTTCTTCTTCTTCTTCTTCTTCTTCTTCTCCTTTTTATTCGACAACGAGGATTCGATATTCCGATCCAAATTTTATTAATCGCGTGTGCTTCGTATCGTTGCACCGACTGCACGACTAATCCAAAGCGACGAGATTAGTCTCCTCCGCTGTATTGGTATCTTTTGGCATGCCGGATGATCCACGTGTCTGAACACGCGCGTGCACCACTGTAGGGAGACCGTAACGCAATTAAGTGGATCGCGTAAACGGGATTTAACCCGGTGCATGTGATTCCTTGGAAAATTCATAGGGAAAGGACATTAAATGTTAAAGCGATCCAGCTCGAGGCTGGTTTCCACCCGCATCCATGCGCACCTGTGCATAACCCTTTCCACCTCCTCTGTACCGTAGAGGAATCTATGCGGTGGCCCAATTATCTTGTTCGCGATGAATTAACACAGGCTCGTGCTTGCACGCAGGCATTCTGGGCCGGGATTGTTGAAAAGGCGAGACTTTTGGGGGCTCCTCGTAATTTCGTCAAATCGTGTCATCGCACGTGTCATCGTCGGTGGATACGGTTGGGTAAAAAGGAAGTGGCGAGAAGAGGATCGCGAAATTCCTTCGCCGCTCGAGAAAGGAATGTTGTTCCAACGAGGAATTTCTCGTAGCGTTGAAGAGCTGAGGTGAAAACTTTTTCCACGCTCCATCTTTTTGCGCCGTCTAAAAATGGGGGTAATACGTTCTTCTCTCAATGTGGAAGGTTTGGGGGAATTACGGTGGAAATTAATGGCTCGTAAGAACATAACCTTGGCGTGGCCGAGAGTAATGAACGATAAGAAAGTCGAGGCGGGGCTTGGAAATAAGGAAGCGCTTGCTGTTTCGTCGTTGTACTTTCGGGAAGGGGGGGAAAATAGATCTCGAGAAAGTTGGTCCCCATGTAGAAACTAAGTCATTACGGAACATAAGCATTGTTCTTGCGGTTAATCTCTTTATCAGCACGTGGCTGGCAGCCGGCCAATCGACTTTCCCTTGACTCCGACGCGATCTACGACACCCTCACCTTGTTTTCATTTTACTCTTTTCTAACGATTCTCACTTATCCACATATTTATTGATCCATCTTAAACTTGATTATAAAGTATTTCTGTATGGTCCAGTATTTTTGTATATTTCGCTTGATTCTTTTTTCTTTTTGAACAACAATAACACGAATAATCTTCTTAGATAAGCAAGAAGAAAAAATTACACTTCTCGATATCGACTTGAATATATATATATAT